AATAAAATTGGTATGTCTACATGATTTCAAATAATTTTCAACTAAAATCAAGGTGAGTAAAATAATTTATAATATAAGTACTTTACAATAATACAGGTACACAATTAACCTATTTAAAAAAGTATTTTTCTTCTGTCTTTTATATTGACCGTTCAGGCCTGATTAATTTTGTTGAAGCTTCCCACTGGTTATAAACGAAATCACGTTTCCCCCTCGCGGGGCATGGGGCGAACACATTATCGTGTCCGTTTCACTGATCCGTTCTTTAACAGGCAAGCAATTGATCAGACGTCTGTGCCCTGCCTGACCGATTTTTTTTGTTACCCTGGGAATCGAACTCTCTCGCGCTTAACGCAATGCTAGGCAATACGTTTAACAATTTGCCTACAGAGGCGGTAATCAGGAATCATGTAGTTTCGTGAAAATCAAATACGCTAAATAGCGAGAAGCTAAAATAAACCGCTTGCGCAGCCACACATAAACGTTTCTCAACTAACAGCTTAATAAATCCAACATCTATTCTTGTAGTCTATTCGCACTAGTTAAAAATAAACAGTGGCATTTTAATATTTAAGCAGATAAATGTATGAAGGCTTAAAAAGCACTTCATCAAGATTAGTTTCCAGCGGAAAGCTATCTAATAGTGAATTCTCGTCAGCATTCGGTTCAGGGGTCCTACTCCGTAGGCGTTAAATCCACTAATACATTTCGAGCCGTGTCGACATCGGGCAAAAATCACTGGATACCACGGCCTGCATAGCAATCACGCGGGATGCTAAGGAATCTTCATTCACTGCGTTTTCTATAGCTGTATATAATTCCTGATCTACCGCCATACTTCCTAGTGTATACACATTTAGATCATTCTAGAATAGATTGTTATTAGTTAAATACCACAAAAACCTTTTAATATTAACTCCACTAAAAAACTTAACGATATTTTTATTTCATTATTGCTAACTTTAGTTTTCTGAGATTTTCCGGCACAGAAAGTATTCTACATGAGACGAATTGTAGGCTTCAGAATAAATAAAGAACAAAATATCTTTAACCGTTAAAATCAAATTTGTATCTGTATCAACTTCAGCGTAATTTATTTTTGTTTTAATTTTGAGTCCACAAAGTCTCTTAGAGACAGTATCGAAATAGAAGTTTTCTCATTATCATTGTCAAAAAGATCGATAGTAAACAGGTGAGGATTGTATTGAATTTCGATATTTTTTCGATCGCTAGAACAGAATTATCACCGAATTCAATTAAAAGTCCACACGAGATTATCTTTTAATGCAAACATGTCGTTAATCGCGATTTTTATTATCACATAAAATAAAGAAACAAATTGCCCTCGGAGCTCGTCAAATAAAATTCATCACATCGTTCGAATAGTTTATAAAGACATACAAAGCGGCCATCATAAACTTTGTCAGATTGCTAAACAGCCGTGGGTACGTTTAGGGTTGCCAGGCGAGAGAATTTCTCCAGAAAAATCGCGAAAAAAATATTTACAACAGCTATAATTATTTTCAATTTTGAGGTTGGGGTTTTATGTATAAAAACGATAATGGTGACTTTGGTGTTATATTGAATAGACGGTTGGCGCCTGGTAGCCCTGGAAGATGTGGGATCTGATACATAACAATTTAAAAGCCGGCGTGCCCTACGACAAGCAACTCTGTGTTCGGAGTCACGCAATGTATCCGTGTCTTCGTACTAAGATGAGGCAGATAGGGATGGCGTTTGCTTAATTGGCTCTATAAATATAGATGAAATTCGCCTTCAGGCTTGTTTTGGTTGTCCGTGATGTTCAACTGTTTCTATCGATCGGAATTATATTGCCTTGTACGTTCCAATCAAATTAACCTTTGCAATCGATTTTACCTTTAAGTCGTAAGCATGTATTCCTTAAGTGTGATAATGTTGATTTGATGACACATATATTATATGGCGCAATCAATAGTTGACAAAAATTAAAAAAAAAACACTATTGAAATGTATATAATTCTTCTTTAATATTATAAATAGCATTTTTATAGTCAAAATGAAACGAGCGTGTCTGAAAAGCGGTGGTAAGTTTTAGACAAGTCTTCAATCTTACTTAAGTGTCCTTTTGTTATATCATACTATTTCAATTTTTTCCGCGTTATATGTTTTAAGGTATAATAAAAATGAGTTATTATTAATTATTTATCTCGTTCCCGCTTCATTAGCGTATTCTCCAAAAGATATTTGTTACCTGCTAGGTTATATCAATTGACTACGTTTTAGTAGATTATACTTCGAGTTAATACTTCTAGTAGTAAATATACGCGGTCATTCCTACCAAGTCAATGTATTAATTATAGAGTAAACTATAACGAAAAAGTATACTGCGTCTTTAAATCAAACATCGCTCTTAATTTAATGTCCGTTAGGAACAAGATTGATTGGTTCAATGTTATTTTGTTTATAATAACTGAGTAGGTAGTTTTATAATGAAGATGTAGGCTGTGTTTATTGTATAATGTTACCATATTCATTTTGTGATGGAATTCAATTAAACTTTTTAAGACACATCAATGTGTTAGGGTTCTCAATGTTAAATCAAACAAAATTTATTGAAATTTTATAAAGAGTCTTACTTTTACACTTAAAGTTATGTATTGAATACTAACACATCATTAAGACTGACGTGTAACTGGCAAACAACGTTTTAACTAGCAATAATGACAAACGGATGTTTTTTTGTAATATTTTATGGCAACATTATGTCATAAACATAACCAGTAATGACAGTAAATTGAATGGAAGGCGTCACAATACGATGTTGCAAAACGCTTAATTAAGCGAAAAGCCCGGGCTGACATTAATGACATTATCGTTAAGAATTCTATAATCCTATTAAAATTAATGAGCGTGGAAATATAAAAGGGCAACAATTTTCTAATAGCGAAAATTTATACTATTTGTTTATAGTTCACTATATCTTGTCTTAAATAGGATGATAAGTTATTACACTTTGGATTTAAGTATTTAATTTTATTCCATTAAAATGGTCTTATGTGAATGTGTAGGTCTGGTACAGACAGTACATTTTTTACGTCCAATGTGCAACAATTAATATCGTTCTGCGAATGCCAAATTTTGTGCTTGGAAAAACCTAGATAATATTATTAAAACCAATGAAACTTCATAAATTTTAATATTTAATATATAATTAACTGATTGCAACAATTTACCCAATTACAAGAATTACTGATTGTTAAAATAAAGTCTCGTTTTAGCCTGTTAGTGTTTTCGCATAAACTGCATTTGATTCTTACCTACCCCTAATGTTCTTGTAGTTGTGAAACTTCTCATCCTATATTAAACACAGTATATCTATCCCTAGTCAGCTGACTCATTAGATTGAACTTTACGACGTATTTACATCGGCCGACGACCGTTTAGCAGTCGTAACACTAACCTTAATTGGTGCATTGAGATTATGCCTATAATGGCTTGTTTTATGATTGGAGTGATAAATGTCGCCTCGTGATTTGGTGTCTTCGCCACTTCGGTTTACGATCTGTTTTCCGGTTCTATGTTTATTGATTCGATAAGATTTTATATTTCCTGCGAGGTTTATCTATTTGAAGATTTGTTTCTGGTTTGCTATTAATTAATAGAAACCATAATAATACATGTTTTCTTTGAAAACTTTAATATTTTTACATGTTATTGAACGTAATGGCTCTATATAAATTAAAAACTTGACAAAATTTAACAATTGACTCGGTAGCTCAACTAGAGAAACAGCACGGAACGCTGTAAGCCGTTTTAAGTCCTGACGGAGTCTTTCTGAGTTTTTTTTAATTTTTTATTTTCGAATCGAGCCTAAATATACCTACAATACATAAATTATTAAATTAAAAAAAAATAGAAATCCTTAAGTTCCATGTTTGAACACTCTTCGTTGAATTAAATCGACAATTTGTGCAATCAATAATTATAATTTAAAAAAATCAAAATTCTAACATATCATGTTATGTCACTTTTACACTAGGAACAGAAATATTAATTTTGAGCGTCCAAAATATTATGTAACATGAATGCTTAAATACCTCCCATTGCATTAAGTGCTAAATGATCGTAGCTTAGAAAAGAAGAAACATAATGACTTCGATGGGGCAATCTGATCAACCACTTATCTGTAAGTAAACAGTAAAGTAGACACAGATATACGTCTGATCAATAGTGTAAGGGTGTCACACACGAAATTAGAGTATTAATTTTTGTTTAGTAAGGCTCTTATGGTACAAGTTCAGTAGATTCTATCAATTAAAATATTCCATCCGCATTTTCCATATTCGCAATAACACTCTACTGTTTTTGCATCTCACTGCCAGCCGCGTTATTCGAAATGCCTGATTCTGGCGTCCACTAGTATTTTAATTACTTGTTTCAGGAATGATTTATTTTGCAATCGCGCACAAATGGCAGACACGCTGTGTTGTGGTGATACAATGTTTTTATTGGTCGCGAATTCTTGGGTCTTTTTTTGTCTCGCTGTACTGTAATTTTAATACGATTTTCATACAAAAGAGTATGTATTCCGTCCCGTCTCGTAACCTGCTGCAAAGCATCCGAAACGTCGGGCTGTAATTAACTAATACATTTCGCGTTTTAAATCGTTAAATGTATTTTGTTTAAAAGAGTATTTTTAAAGTGGGACTTAAAACGATATTGTGAAATGATAGCTCAGTAGGGTGAACAGCGAAACAGTTCTATAGCAGGTTCTATAGCAAGTGTTTGATGTTATTGTTTAATATATAAGTATTATCGATTTAAAATAAGAATACCTAATGATAAAACAGTATACTTTAATAAGTTAATGTGTCTTTATATAAATAAATAATTTTATAAATCGTCCTAGTAGTTATTACTATTGTATATAGGTATTTTAGGGAGATACCGTGTATATTCTATGGCTTATTTATTACAAAGCTAGATTTCTCTATTTTCTTTTTTTAATAACCTAAATAATGTCGAGGAAACCAAACCACTGCTCCACGATATCAAGACGCGACGGATATGAGTACAACTCCACCAACATGTCAAGTCGTAAATATCACCGCTATAAAACTATAAATGACACTAAATTAAAACGTTTGTTTATTCAAATTCAAGGTAAATTATTTGGACATTCAAATGAGCTAAGAAAAGTTCAGGAAGCATCGATTTTTACAAATGAGAGGTTTCGCATATTAAATTTACAATGAGCTTTCACTGCCCTCCCCCCGACGACAAGACCGGCAATTCAAACGTTCACGATTTTACGTGAACAAAATCTTGCGCAAGAGCATACATATTGTTACCTTTTTGGGGATTCGGATATTGTTGTGTGCACCGTTAGGCTTGACGCAACTTGAGAACAAAAAGCTTTTGACAAAGAACAAATCTGTTTATGATTTATTGCGCTCTTTGTGTTTTAGTTGCATATCTGTTGTTTTTTATTGTCGTTATTAGAATTGCACAAAAATAATGGAACAGCGTGTCTTTACTTGTTTTATATTTTTAAATGCTCAGAATTTAAGTTTCAATTCTTTTAGTGACACATTATTGAGCAAGAATCATACTATAATACAATATCGTTTTGTTCCGATGCGAAAAATTTGAAAGACGTACTAATTCAGTTTTATATTTTTTCTTCTCTCGACATTTCCCATGAGCATAGAAAGCGACACTAATGTAACATTTAGCTGCAAATTAGGTGATGTGAATGTGAGAATTTGAATTTGTATAGCGCTTCACACTGGGCAGGTCTACGTCCTTCGATTAACGGATAATTGTATATACGTTATAGTCGGTCTTCAACTGTTTTATGCTTTTATTTATCGCTCGGAGCGGCACGATGATAAACGGCGCAAGAGAAAGCGTCCGCAAAACAAAGGCCACTCGACTGCGATCGCTCATGTAAACTTCAGGTGCTATATCAATCTATCATGTATTTAAACAATGCTTCATAATAAACCACAGATGCACGCTGGGAAATTATTAATCAAAGTTTCGGCGCGCGGATTTGCATACGCAGTTCGACTTTGTTTTGCTGCTATGTTTCATGTCTGTATCGAAAACAATCGCGGGGCATTCGATTTACGATCGGCATTTGTTCAGTCTAAATTTATATCGGACTAGAAATTCACGGACCGCGAAGGTACAATCTCGTCGGTAGCCGTGTTTGTCAACGATCGCGGTCTTCGTGTCACAAACGATCGCAGTCTTTGGTGGGGAAAGAGAATTTGGTCGTTACGCCATTTGATAAGTTGACAAGTTTCGAACGGTCACTATAGCTTTATGAATCGTAATCAATGATATTTTCGTTATTCAAAAATAGAACTATCCACTTTGCGTTTTAGGTAAAATACCAACCTTCAAATCACTCCAAGTAAGAAAACAATGATAGAGTTCTCGTTCAGCTTAATCTACAATCACAATGAATTCATACAAAACTGACCCTGTATTTATTAGAAGATAATCTATAGACGCTACAGCGCTGCTACATAATACTTTGTACTTTAAAAAATACTAATTTCATCTCTCTACCGAAGATATACAATTTTGTACTAGAAAATGAAAAACTATAGAACTATCACCGGTCACACGTCCGTCTATATAGTGGTCCAGGTAGGAGGAAGATTTGTCGAACTTATTCAGTTTCGCGGGGGTCCGCGCGCGAGTTCAGAACGCGAGCGTGGCTATTCGCGCGGAATAGCGCGCGTCGGACGGCATCGCTAGGGCGGCGTCGACTGCTGGGCGCTTGCAGCAGGATCCGCGGGCGACTGATGGGCGGGCGGCGCGACGGCCGCGCGCGGCGCACTGCCGCGCCGTCGCTTCCCGGCCGCCCCTCGGCCCTCCGCGATGACGCCTGATTCTTTACAAACTTCCTTCATGAGACAGCATCAACGATGCCGAAACGGGCTGTCCACTGCGACAGCTTGATTCGCTCTATAATTCTTCGATAACAATAACTTAGCCAGGATTTAAATTAAAATACCAGCAGACAAAACTGTATGGCATAGCTAGTTTATTGAAACACTCTTAATTTCGAAACGTTATTTGCGGCTCAAAAGTTCTATACAAATTCTTTGATAAGTTATAAATAGTGCTTTCAAATATAAAATTATCATCTTAATAGTTATTTATATAAAGTATAAATTATATATTTATTATTACCCTCTTAATTGTTGTTCTCATATTTTGTCATACATCGTTCATAATGAAAGAACCTTCTTAACGCGAAACTTTTGTTTTAAGTAGAGTACCTAAATGTTGGAAGTGAGTAGACAAAGAGCCCAATTGCCCTGCGCCTTAAGTGCTAGTAGGAATTCGAACAATATCCACGTATAGTGCAGTTAAATATTTAATCAAAATATTTTATGTCATTATTAATTTCGTCATTATTATTTAAGTTACTTACTTAGATTTTTTCTGTTTAATTTGATACGCTATAAAATGTAAATTTAAGCATTTTAGTTTATTTACAATTGGTTGCTTTAATAAGAATTTAACATTACTTTGTACGATAGAAATCAGTTCATCTAATATTAAAACAATAACTTATATAAAATACATTAGCACATTTTGCATTTTCACTTCAAGTAATTTATTTTCAATTAATCAAATAATTACTTCCACTCATACGTATTTGCTTCATGCAAGTAGGTAATTTGAAATCTTCCATTTCCTTCTAATGCTTGTTTATTCGTGCCAATAGCCCGTACTATAGATAGAACTCAAGTTCCACCTACGATGAGCCCAAAGGACCCCTCTAATCGCCCTCCCCTCTCTCCTCGCCCCGAAGACCGTGACGACCCACAAATATTATTTAGGTAAAACTTTCCCCCTATTAATGCGTAGACATTGTTTTGAGTGCATTAGCTATGATCGATTGCGGATAAACGCTTTAAAATATACGTTTATATCTTACCTAGCTTACGTTAAGGATATAAAAAAAACGTTTATAACAATTTATAAAAGGAAACATGTAATTTATACTTATATAAATTAAATAGTTCTCGTGTTTAATTTTGACCCGACGAAAATATGCCAGAACCTCGGAGGTAGCAGTTATAATAAGTATATTACTATATTTCACGATTTAATATTTTTTACCTTATTTATCATTAACCTTTTTCATATTTAGTCTTACTTTCAGTGCTTTAGGTTTTCAACTAATCCAAAGTAATATGTATTCAGACCTAAATTTTGACAAAGGTAATATTTTTTTGTGCCTTTCCGGGATTCAAATCTTTAACGCTGGAGATAACACTGTGGAGCATGTAATGGAATGTAGGCATTTTATATATTTATTGTGAAAGGGTATAGATAAAGCAAAATACAGTAAGCACAAAGTGTACAAACATTGAACTGAATGATTGTTCACGCGATAATTTTCGCAAATAGATTATAAATTGAATATCATTGAAATATTGTGGACGCGGCCAAAACTATTCGAATGTCAAATTCGATTCTCTCCAACATTGGGCATTGCGACTACGCTCACAAAAATCGCGACATACTTTTTAGGGTCCCGTATAACTTTGCTGGTGGTCACCTTGAATTGCAGTTATTATTATTTTTTACTAGCTGTGTCAGTGAGTTCGTCCGCGTAGGATATTAATTTTAAAATGATCTTAAAATTTTAAATAAAACACTTTAACGGTTTAAAACGCGATATATTAGTTATACTTATTTTAAAATGATTTTTAACGTCGGCCCGGCGTTTCGGATCAGTCTCCCCGTGACCAAGGCTGCTGCAAAGCATCCATGGTGCGTATATATCGCGTTTTAAACCGTTAAAGTGTTTTATTTAAATGTGTACTACTCGCGTATATGATCTTAAAAGATAGACATGTTGCTGTTGCTGACTTTTTTTAGATCTCTTATTAGACACAGCACGATGTTTTATAGCTTATAACCTTCCTTAATAAATGTTCTAATCAACACAAAAATAATCTTTCAATTCGAACCAGTAATTCCTGAGATTAGCGCGTTCAAACAAATAAACAAACTCTTCAGTTTTATATATTAATATAGGTTGGTGACACAGATAGAAGGCCGGATAATCAGTAAATACTATCTGCTGACTATTATACCAATTTCCCTATTTCCGTAAAAACTGCGATAGGAAGGGTGTTTCAACTACACTGCTATAAAAGCAAAATATAATATGTTCTGCGTTGTCACTGCAACAATTACTAACAAACGCGATAAATTTGTCCTTTTTTTATATTAATAATGGAAACGGATGTACCTGTAGTCGGTAATATCTTATTAACAATTGACCACAGAGAATATGAATAATAGTACGGAACCTTACATATGTGAGCTCGACTCGTCTTCGCCGGTTTTAATTTATTTCGTCCACAAAAAGCATTGTGCCGTTTTATTTTCATTTCAACGGCGACTTGCGCTGTAGCGGGATATCTATTTTTATTTATTCCGCTCTCGGCATTTTTTTTTCTCTTTTTCAATTTCGTTCCCGATCGACGCGGGCCCAAGCGGAACGTAGACGGATCTCATTTTAAATTAAATTCGTCTCCATTTTGCATATTTCTTTCGGTCCGTAGCAATTCTAATTGGCGGGATTAGCATAATATGATTTTCTAATTTGGAACATTTCTGCTCTGTGTAGTTTCGTAAAACATTTTCAAACACGGATTTTGAATTGAAAATTTACATACTTATTTCAATTGCATATTAGATGAATTTGTGTACACCTTTAATACCTCAAATATATTGCAGAATATCTCTTCGGACCCTTAGGCGAGATGTTTACTGTCTATTATATCGTTTACGTTATAAATATGGCATCTACGTATTGTTATTATTTATAATAGTTATTACCAATAATAATTTAAACTAGTTCTTTGTAATGTAGTTTTACCATTGTTGTCGTTCTGTACAGCTGTCTATTTACACATAATTTTTGTTTTTATATTCATATTGGTACTTATTGTTTTACGTATTCTAATTTTATTTGTGACAATATGTAACTGCCTTTATGTTTTATTGTCTGTAAAAAATATTTTCGTGCCTCACTTAAGAATGATTTCATGGTAAGACAAAATTTAGTCTAACATAGAAACGAAATAAGTAAACAATGAAATAAAAAGCAGTATTTGTGTAATCTACGCCCCGGAAAAACGAAAAATTAAAGAGCGTCTTAATTTACTATACTATACTTATATAAAAATATAGGAACTTTTTATCCGCGACACGTGTAGGTAGTTTTATTTGCAAATAGTTTTGAAGCTATCTTGTATTCATTGCAATGTCGCGAAAACTGTCATTGATATCGAACGGTGGCCGATATCTGGCTAATGAATATGTATGGGGCAGGTGCATCGACAATCGACATGATTAAGTAGGTGCCACCAACGATTTTTGAAGCGAACATCGATAGATATCGACTTACGTGCTCGATTTTTTATCGATAACGTTTAATTCGTTTCCTTTTCTGTACACAAGTGTGTAATTACTGTATGCCACTTAAGTAATTATTTACTTATTCTTGGTGACAAAAAGTATCATTTTATAAGTATTGATACACTGGTCCCAGCAAAAAAGAACAGTAAACAACCCTAATAGTTTTAATTAAAAGTTTATTTAAACACATTTTGGTCTGATAATCATCAGGGTTTTTTATGGTTCCCACAGCTGGGACAGAGAAGTTCCATTCCTAATCCTAATCTACAATTTTGTCAAATGCGTGTTGGCAGTTGAAGTCGATTATATAGGTTTTATGACATGGCTTCTTCGCCGGAAAACACGTATCGAAATGTAGACAAAGATAAATAGGCAAAAACTCCCAACTTTACGAACTTGTCCAGGTCCTTAGATATATAAAATAAAAATTACGCATTTATTTATTTTAATTTTATATATTATACAAATAGTATACATTTTAAATAGTAATTGCCGATATAAGTGATATTAATAGGTTTGCTAAAATAACTCTCATTAATTTAAAAATAATATCTATGATCTATGTCTTAAGCATTGTAACACAATCAATGCAAAGGAACCAGCTGTTTACATTCCAACACTCACATGACCAAGGATAGTGTAGAGCCTCGTAATAAATCTATTGGATCATTCCCTTGTCGATGCATTGGACCCTTACAATTAATTACAGCTGGCAACTACAGCTCCAAAACCTGATAATTTGTGTAAGAAACCGACTAAGGGTTCCGATTTTCTCTTGACGGTTCTTTTTCTCGAAGAAAAAGAAATTGTAAAAATCTTTCTAACATTTCCTTTTATATATGTATCTGTAATTTAATAGATATATAAGTCGTAATCGCTAACCAAATGTGTGTTGGTAGATGTCACGTAGAACGATGTGAAGTTTTTCGTTCAAACTATCACATGCACAAAATATTTGTTTTGATGCATGGTGGCGAACGAGTATCGAACTTTGGACCAGACGAAAGTCGCGGTTAGATTAGATCAGCAATAAACAGAGTTCAACAATAACAAAAACAATTATAAAAGACAGGTCCACATTTAGCCGGCAAAAATGTTATTATCAGCTAACTAAATAACTGAATGTTGTATTTCTTAGGCAGTAGTTTAACTATGTTATAATTTTAAATTCAATCGTAACTAATTCTACGATGTAGACTATCTACTAAAAACTAAACTCAATTATTCATACTAGACTTGCCTAACACCATTAAATTTTAAACGTTCCACATTCAAACTAATCTCTAATTATAAAAATATAGCATTTTTATTCATTAAACAAAATGTAAAATTCAAAATTTGCACGTATTTAGAGTGTAATTTACGAAAAGTATTAATTAAGTTTTATCAGCGGTTGTAAACAAGTAATTACATCGGTCAGCTTGAATTTATACATGCACGT